CATGAAGTTTCAATCGCACTGTACGTGCACGCCCGCACGTGGTATTTTGTGGAAGAGCCACACTCAAGGGACCAAAGAGCTACATGTGGCTCGCGAGCCGCAGTTTGCCGACCACAGCTCTCAGGCTCTCCTTGGTTTGAGGACCAGCATCTTTCCCTTTCTCAGGGTCAACCAGCTATCCTGCCCTAAGTTAAGCCTGGACTCGCTGGACAGAGGAGGCCACAAGATGACACCAAAGTCCCCCTTTTTCTGGTCCCAGTGTTGCATGTGTAAAATGAGGATAAACAGCCCAGGCAGGCAGTGTACCTCATGGTTGAGTGTCGACCTTGAACCAGGAGGTCAAGGTTCCATTCCCAGTCAGAGCACATGCCCAAGGTTGCAGGCTCGATCCCCAATGGGGGCTGTGCAGGAGGCAGCTAATCAATGATTCTCTCTTATCACTGATGTTTCTCTCTCTCCCTCTCCCTTCTTTTCTGAAATCAATAAAAATATATTTAAAAAATAAAATAAAATGAAGATAAACATACTGAAAAGGGAGGCCAAAAGAAGAATTTCGGTGCTATTTATACTAGCCAAATGGTGGAAGTACCCAAATGCCAATCAGCTGAGGGCTAGATCAACAAAACATGGTATATCCACAAGATGGAATACTATGCAGTCATAAAAAGGATGAGTTGCTGACACATGCTACAGCATGAATGAACCTTGAAAACATTATGCAAAGTGAAAGACACCAGACCCAAAAAACTATATATTATATGATACATGTATATGAAATATCCAGAATAATAAATCTATGGGGACAGAAAGCCGATTAGTGATTGCCAGGTTTGGGGGAGAGAGAGAAAAGGGAGTGATTGCAAATGGTGCAGGTTTCTTTTGGGGAGATGAAAATGTTCTGCAATTACATAGAGATGATGATTGCACAACTCTGTGAATATACTAAAATTCACCAAATTGTACATTTTAAACATAAGAATTTTATGGTATGTGAGTTATGTCTCAAAGAAGCTGTTATTTAAAAAAATGCTTAAACATCTTCTGGAATGATAAGAAATAGCCAACTCTGTTTGCACTGTGGAGACGATACTATAAACCAGGTTGCAGGCAGCTGGTTCAAAAAGTGCTTCTGGTTATAAGGAGGACACTGATGTCAAAGATGTGAGCGAATGTGGAGAGTTGGGGGAAAGCCGTGTTTTTAAGTGAATGTATTATTTTATATAGTGTGTGAATGAAAACATGTGTCACTGGAAAATATATGAATATTACCCTAAAAAGTTTACATATTCAAGTTAGTGTTTTAAAAAAACAAAACTTTCCTCATTGGGAGACTGGGGTTGTCTTACATTCAGGCATATCTTGTTCATATCGATGTGTTAGGCTCTGGCCAGTATATCATCTGACTCTCAATACAAATAGTGGGCACCAGGGTTTCCTTTTAGGACGATGAGAATGTTCTGGAACTAGATAGGGGTGACAACTTGTACAACATTGTGAATGTACCAAATGTCACTAATGGTAAATTTTATATTATCTATATTTTACTGCAATTTAAAAAGAAAAAAAAAGGATACGGCTGGAGGTCCTTTAATAGTGTCACCACCGAGTTCAGGTGGGGATCAGAATTCTTATTAATGGAGTCATAAAACCCGTTCCATCTGGCTCATTCTCATGCCCCCAGGCCATTTAGTCCCAACTCTTGGAGTAGGGGTTCCATCACTGGTGCTCCATTTCTCCTCAACCTGTCACCCCACCCTCCCGCCCTCCCTGCAGGAGAGGAGTTTGTAAGTCTTGGCCCCACCACCTGCTGAGCAGCCTTGTGCAGGGCGCTCGACCCGCTGGCATTTTGTCTGATCTAGAAGAGAAGGATGGCACACTCTCTGCCCTGACCACCTCTCCAGATGGGGGCAGCGAGCAGGTGGGATCGTGCCCACAAAGCTCCTGGCAGCTGCAGAGGGCTGGGTCAGGGACCCAGTGCTCCATGGTTATCAGGGCACAAAAAACCCCATGGCATCATCTGTTGACCATGTGTGCCAGCTAGATAAAGACTGAAGAGTCTGAAGGAGACCAAGACTTAGGGCTTAGTTTAGAGAACAAGACGATGGAACACTTGTTCTGATAATCCAATGACTCATTCTTTTCTTTAATCATTCATCTTTCCACTCCTGCTACTGTTACGGGGCCAACAATGTTCCAGGCATTGGGGACAGAGAACTGAGCGTGGGTGGTCCTGATGAGAACACTGCAGAGAAGAGTAGAAAGAAGGAAAATTCTAGAACCTCATCTGCTCATCCACACCTGCTTTGAGGCATGACTTTGTTCAGTTAGTGCCATTGGTTTCACAGCCATGCTGAGAGGCCCACGTTCCCAGAGGCCTTCCTTCCTGGCTTTTTACCTCTCCTCCTATTGGGAAGTTCTTCCCTGAGTCTGATTCTGATTCTGTGTAAGCATCTGAGAGATGCTTGAGTTGAGTTGAATTTAAAGATTCTGGTGTCAGCCCAGCCAGCATGGTTCAGTGGTTGAGCATCGACCTATCAACCAGGAGGCCACAGTTCAATTCCCAGTCAGAGCACATGCTGGGGTTGCAGCTCAATCCCCAGTGTGGGGTGTGTAAGAGGCAGCCGATCAATGATTCTCTCTCATCATTGATGTTCCTATCTCTCTCTCCCTCTCTCTTCTTCTCTGAAATCAATAATAAAATAAAAAGAGATTTTTAAAAAAGTTTCTGGTGTCGCCACCAAAGACTAAATCTCATCAACACCCAGGGAAAACTTCAGAGCAAGGGAAGTTTTTTCCTCCGCTCTCCTCACTCAGTTTGAACCTGACAACCACAGAGCTCCCTTTCCGGTTCCCTTTCTCTCCACCATCCTCTGCCCCAGAGGATGTATCCCATCCCTTGCGAACTTACCTGGGGACATCAGTGACTACCTGACCACCTGACCTCTATTAGCACCACCATCTAGAAGTTTTGTTTGCTGTTAAAATAAAGAGGAGTTTTAAAATTTAGTCATTCAGCGCTACAGTCACACATGCTCGAAGAGTCCCTGCTTTGTTTTTGGTTAGTTGTAAGAAAACAGGGCTGGGCGAGCACAAGGAGAGAAGATTCTAGGGTCCCCTTAGCTGGCAACTCCTAGAAGATCTTCCTAAGAACTCTTTGCATTTGTGCAACTTTAAGGTGTGCAAGGCACTTTTGTGCCCTTTCCAGGCCTCACATCATCCCGAGGAGGGCATGGGGAAGATATATTATTATCCCTTTTATATAAATTTTAAAAATACTGATGTTCAGAAGTATTGACTGATTTGCTTCTAAACTATAATGCAATAAAGCACTACCCAGTGGCACCAACCAGGAGGGCAATTTTGTGAGCACCTGGGCCAGTACTTGCATGTTTTCTACAGGTCAGGCACTAGGACTGTCATTGCTAAGCCACTATCAGAACAGAAGTCTGCAGTAGGCAGGTGGTGAGAAGGGAAAGGTACCCCACTCCAAAGCCAGACTCACCTAAATCCAAGGTTGTAGGAGGTCCTTCTATGTGCAACTTCACTCACTCCTCCTTCCAATCAAATGCACTAAATAAAACAAATGTTTCCTCCCCCCACCCCTCATTAGTGAGAAATAGAAATCCAGGCATGCTAAAATTGCATCATATCAAGATCCAAAGAGAGGTACCCAGGACCCTCTGGAAGAATGTGCAAATGAGATTCAATAGACTCTAGAAGACCTATCCCTGAAAGATGCCTCAAATTTGCATCCCTTGTAATTAGCACACTATGATAATTTCATTAATTTGTCACTGGAAACCAAAGGAGAAATTGTTCCAGGTAATTGACTGTAATTAGAGTGACCTTCTACCTCCTATTAGAAAGTTATTAAAAGAGAAGGAGCCCTAAATAAACCCTTTGATCCTGGAAGTGGCGGGATTGGCAGGCTTATGGGAGAGGTGGCTGTGGGGTGATGTCCCTGTTTGTAAAGTGGGTCTGGGTGAATGGAATGCGCAGAGAAACCAACACAAAAACATTGCATAAGGGCTCAGGCACTAACCTCCCCACTGAGCTTGTATTGCTGCTGATGGACGAGGGTGTCCAGACCACCCTCACAACCACCCCCACTCATCGCAGCCTCTCTCGCCACCTCTTGAATCCTGGACCCACTGAAGTCAAGGTTCCTTGGGCTCGCTTCTTTGTCTATCTTCCTACTGCAGCTGGTTTACAACCTCTCACCCACCAGGCCACGTTCTATTCTTTTCACAAGCACCAACTTCCCCAGAAAGCCTGCTCAGATCCCATCAGCCCCTCCCTGCCATTAGCACCCCACCCACCCCAGCACGGGAGTCTCAATTCCCCGCAACCAGCAGTACTTTGAAGAAAGCCCTTTGGTTAAAGAAAATGAT